CACTTTCTGCTCCTTAAATTTACAATAATTTTAATAAAAAACTTAATTTAAAATTACTTTAATTTTTTGTGTTCATATAAAACTCATGCTCGCTAAAATTATGATTTCGGCATTAGTTTTGAATATACAAATTTACCTTTTTTTTCAAAAATAAAAGTTTAAATTGCACAAAAAAGTGTTTTGAGAAAAAAATCTCTTTTCATTCAAATTTAGAACTTTTTAAAAAATTTTCAATATTTAAAATTTCAATAAGGGTTACTTTGAGTGTCATCGATCTAACATATTTCCAAAATATTTGAATTTTTCCTAAACAGTCCTGAACCATTGGAATACCTTCTAATCTCCTCCCCATCACCTCATGTCGTACATCCATTGTCCAGTGCGAGCATTTGCTAAAATTACGCTTAAGCAATAATGGCGAAGATTACGTGCTAAAATTACTTAAAAAGATTTTCAATTGTCCTTGAGTGCAGTTGTCGTCACGAAACGGCAGCAACAACAAGAATAGCAGCGGTAAAACTACTAACGGAGGACTGCATCCATGCACACTCTACCCATCTCTCTCTCCCTCTCTCTCTCGCTCTCTCTCTCTCTCTGTGTATTTTACACACGCACACACGGAGCAGCAAGGCTATTGTTTTAATATACCGAATCCACCGAGTAAACCTGTCAGCGTGTTCATTTGGCCAACACGTCGCGTTCGCGTTATTTTACTTCACTACTTTCTCTTGTTCTTGCTGTTGTTGTTGCCATATTTATTATCCCGAACTATGTAGAGAAATAATGAACTTTTGTTAAGACAACAATAAATTTATTGCTGCGACAATGGTTTTCAATTTTTCGCTTCAACCCAGAAAACGAAAGAGAAAAGGAAAGCCTCTACGCTCCCTCAGATCAGACTCAACAGCGTCTTTGCCCAGTAAAAGCCAGTCGCAATTCTACGCAATGTTCTCTTATTGTTTAATTTTTGTTTGCTTTATTTGACTTTATTTCGTATTTTGTATTTTGTATTTTTAACATTCATCTGTTTATTGTTTTCTTTGCTGTTGACTTATTTGTCCGCTTTTGGTCATAAGTTGTACGCTTCATATATACTTATTACTATTATTATTATTGTATAGAATTATTTATGTGTAGATCTCTCTCCCTCTCTTCCTCCGTCTGTGTGTATGTGTTTGGTTGTGCTTATTTTATGGTTGTTCACTGTCTGTTGTTAATGTTTATTGTTGTCCTTAATATTAAGCAGCTGACCCCTGCTGCTTCCTCCACTGCTCCCTTCTATTGCCCCATCCTCTGCAGATCCTTGCCATGACTGCTTGCAATCAAATGCATTGAACAATTTGAAATTTATTTGCTATGAATAGACAATGCAAACGCATTTTTTAAACTTCCCTCCGTTTGCCATGCAGGTTTTTCTTGTTCTTGCTCTGCTCTTGTGATTTTGTTAGTTTCATTTGGCATTCAATATATTTGTTTTGCAGATTTTGATTTTGTGCGCAATTCATTTGCTTTGGGTTCGGTGATTGGCAAAATAAGAAAAGATTGAAGAATTTGCAGTGGCAAATTTATTAAAATCTCAAGCTTTTTCCCGATATTTCAAAGGAATAGAATATATTCAAAGAAAACGGATTACAGGCAGGGTCTATCTATTTTTTAAAATTATTGTTTTTGGTTGTCTCCAAAAGCGGAAAGTGGGACAAGCTAGCAGGTTAGTGTAATAATAAAAGGAACTGTTGATCTATGAACAAAATTTACGAAAGAGCTGGAAATCACACTTATCAGAAGCGCAGTGGGAGAGCTACAAGGAAGCCAGCTTGCAGTCCAAATCGATATCTTCCAAATCTGGTTTCCGTCCACAGAATCATTTACGGCAGTGAAAAATCTATAGGCTTGCCGACGCTTACGACAGAGAGAGAATCAGGAGAGATTTTCAACTGCGCCTTGATATTTATATTCAATGGCTGGACTCCTCATAAAAGCCATCAACCGTTCGTAGGCGGCTTGGTATAAACTAAAGGTCGCTCCACTTGTTCGAGAAACATAAGACGCAAACAAATTTTGTTCATATAAACTCGGAAGCAGCCTTTACGTAATTTAATTTCTTACATTTCGCACAAAAATTATTCATAGAAACTTACACAATTCCTCTTTCCTTGTTTTCCTTGTAATTATTTACCTAATTCGATCAATTGGATTTTCTTATGTAATCTGAAAAGCAAATAAAGGAATACAAACATAAATACGAGACGAGCTAAAATAAACAATTTTGGGGATTAAAGTTCAAAACTTTGATGACTCAACTTGCAAAAATAGTCGACATTTAATTGCGACCCTCACGTAACCTTCAGCTTGACTGCATATGAGCTTTGTACTTACTTACACACGCCACCCTCCCCCGCTGAGCCTGTGCAGTGGAAATGGTGGAGGGAGAGTCAGCATTCCATGAATGCATGCAACGCATGGCGACATTCTTAGAGCGAAATTGAAGGTAATCGATGAATTGACAAAAATGTAACAAATTTTCCGCAAGAAGTATACCCCACACCACCCACCACCTTGTTGTGCTTTATTTTGTTTGTGTACCCGTACTCATGTTTCTTTGCAACACGCACTCGCACTGACAACTGTTCTCCTGCTTCAACATCAATTAGGCTTCGATTCTTTGGAAATTCATCAATAAATCATACCAAGTCAGTCAGGGGAGTCCAAGCCGAGGGGCCACTCATTTAAAGAACGTATATTTCATTTGGTTTCTGCTTACTTTTGTAAAAATAAAGAAAATAAATGAAGAAAGGAAAATAAAAATACCCGCAGCAAATTTTCCGCACTCAATGTCATTTTTCGTGAAATGCCTTTGATCGACGTATGGACAGACACACAGGCAAACACCGAGTGTCGATGATGAAATGTTGGATAACCGAAAAGGAATGAATTGGGGGAAATAGCATGAGGGAAGGCATGAGGAGGCATTGCATGAGACCTGGTGTCGGATGAGACGATGGGAGTGACGCTTGTAACTCTCAGCTGCTGGTATATAATGCGCTAAGGGCAGAAGGGCAATAAACAATAGAATGTACATGAAATATAATAATTGTTAATACAAATGTATGTGTATGTATAGAATGCGTATGTATTTGCGTTGTGTGATCATAAGGTGACGTTTATGACCAATGCGCCCCCAAGCATATCGACCGTTGATATGTAGTGAATAGCAAATTTTATATGCAGTGTAACATATCTGAGAGCATTGTTGGATTAAGATAAATGCAGTTTTTCAGTATGAACTTTAATCGAGACAGCGGAGGGTGGTCTAACGAACTACACGCCACTCTCTGAGCAGAAGCAAAACACAAAATAAATATAAAATATATTTATAATTTTTAAAACCGCCGAAATGTCGATATGTTCATACATTCAGTTCAGTTCAGAGACGAAAATGCCATCTTTATATCTCACGAAAACAAGGTTGTGCTTAAAAGGTATCCACCATTTCAGTTTCCAGCAGTAGAGAGACTCTTCAAGTCACTCACGGTAATTTACCATACACTACAATACTACTTAAACATTAAAACAATATCCTTTGAATCATGTTTTCCAATAAAACATATTTCATTCGATGCTTCACAATGCCATAGTTTCCAGGATATTATTTGTTGATGAAATTTTGACAAATAGAAATGTTAGACAACTTCAATTTTGTAGCATAAAATAGGCGGGCGAGCTCAAAAGCTTCTGAGGAAAACAAATATTATTCTGCTCTAAAGAAAACTTCATAAATAACTCAAATAGCTCCCCAATATATAATAATTTTATGTTTTAATGCAAATATTCAGGACAAAACTCTTAAGTTGACGCTATGCAAGCGCAGCATAACGATTTTTCCCGTTTACGCAAGACTTGGATTTTTCGAATCTGCGTCAGCAGCATTATCGTGATGTCCACGTCTGAAAAACTGGTTGAAATGTTGTGATTGAATTTCAATCTGCTGACCAAATACGCAATACTCATAGTGAAAGAAAGAAATGTTTAAAGCTTGGAAATTTAATTAAAATTTATTTTCAAAATGAATTTCTTTTACATTTCGTTGCTTCAATTAAATAATTATGACTTACAACAATGTATTAAACTTTACATGTAGAAAACAAGCTTAGCTGCAGTTCTTCTTCAAATTTTAGGCAGAACAAAAATGGTTTTCAATAATTTTGAAGTTATTTCATTATAATTTATTTTTTATTAAAATTTTTTCTATTTTTTTACTTTCCATTTATTTCAATTTATTATATTATTTGATGTATTTTTTTAAACTTATTAGTTTTATTACATTTTTTTAGTTTCTATTAATATATTTTATTTTATTTTTTATTTTACCTCATATTACTTTATTTAGTTTTTTTTATTACTTTACTACTTTATTTTATTTAGTCATTTATAATTAAATTTTATTTAATATCATTTTATTTTTTTATTTCATTAAATTTAATTTTGTTTTATTTAATTTTACTAAATTTAATTATATAAAATTTAATTTGAATTAAGTTTATTTAATTACTTTACATTTTATTAATTATTTATTTTTAATTATTTTAATTACGCTTCACTTGCTTAAAGTTAAATGTTTTATTTTTTATATTATATTTTATTTCAAATAACTTTGTGTAATTTATTCTTTTTTCCTTTTATTTGAATTTATTATTATATGTATTTGTTTTATATATCAATATTTCATTTTGTTTTGCTTTAGTTTTTTTCTATAATAATGAAATATTACATTGAATTAATTCATTTATGAGAATTTATTTTCATTTCCTTTGTTTAAATTTTTTATTTTATTTTGACGCTTTTTTTCTAAGTTTACTTTATCTTTCACTTTATTTAATTTTATCTTTTTTTTCCTTTTTTGATTCTGTTATTTTCTTTCATTTTATTTTATTTTAATTTAATTCTAGTTTTTAGTTTTAGTCATTTACTTTTATTTCACACATTCTATGTTATTTTAATTTTCTTCACTTTCTTTTATTTAATTCTTGTATTTTATCTCACTTCATTTATCTTGTTTTATTCCTTTATTTTGTTTCACTTATAGTTGCTTTGTCTAAACTTTGTCCACTATTCAAGTATTTAAACTTTTACATCTAAAAAATATGGCTGTTGAAAATTCGAATCAAAGCAATAAGCGCCTAATATTAATAATATCACTAATTCATATTCTCCTCGTTGAGGTGCTTTTCCGCCACTTCGGCACCGCACTCGTTTAGAGACGCGCTTGTATCCCGTCCATGGAAATCTGTACGTGAACCAACTCGGTGAGTACCAAAATCACCTGTTACATAACGCGCTGTCAGCACTGCTATCACGACACCCAACAAACTGCCGCAAACTACATCCGACCAGTGATGTGTATAGGTCTTGAGACCTAACAGAGCTAAAAACCAAGCCAACGAGATCAGAATAAACTGCAAAACATGACGGAACAACTTCGAGCCTTTCCATGTCATTTTATGCTGCACATAAATGCTCATATAAACCAAAGCATAGAAAGCCACACTCGAGTGGATGCTGGGGAAAGAGCCACGAACGCTAATCAAATCAAACACTGTGAAGCCCTCTGCCGTACACATGTATTGCTCCACATAACGCAAATGATTTTCCGGCGACTTGCAAGTACTACCATCCAGCATCTGTGGCTGGCACAGGTCCATGAAGTGTGGGCGCAGGCGGCCGATTGTAAACTTTCCCACCTCTGTCGCATTAACGGTTAATAAAAGGCCGAACAGGAAAAACATAAAATGCTCCAAAAAATCCGATATGAACGAAGGAACTTTGGAACTAAAACGTGACGGATTCCTTTGTGAACGACTTTGGCTTCGATGGATCTTAAGTTCCACGACAAACAGTATAGACATTGCGATTAAAAGTACGATAGAAACGAGTGTTTTTGCAGACACGACATCGGGACGCACAGGATAGTGTAGCGTCTCATCCGAACAAAAGAAACCACGTTGTGCTGGTAGAACAAGGACGAATTCAAATAAGGCGATCGATATCAGGAGCGCAATCACAAGTATCACATCGATGAGTGTGCGAAAAAAGAGATAACGACTGTCTACAGTATCTCTGTTGTCTCTCATTGCTGAATCAATCAAATGTGATTTTTTTCACACAAATTTAACTTTGGCGGAAATCGCTTTTTTTTTGGTTCTTAATAAAGCTTTGCTTTAAAAAAAAATTGTTTAGGTAGCTGTATTATTCTTTGGTGCTCAGTTTTATAGTTTAATGTTATATATTATTATTTCTAAAGAATTTTGCCACAATAAAACTTCTGCTTCTCTGCTTGAACGTTTTCTGTGCAGTCACACTTTAGATCGCAGCGATGCTTGTCATGGAAGCTTTACGAACTGAACTCGTCCGTACCGCTGAAAAGCCATCTTTTATATGAGATTTTCAATCGAAATGAAATTCTATTATATTAATAACTTTTCAGCTTTAATACTTTCGTAACTTGTTGTCAACGCGTTTGTGCCATGCAATTGCTCTGTTTAACATTTGAAATGTGTGAAATATTATTATTAGGTGAACTCCAATATCAATAATATTCTATAGTTCATGACAGATCACAGGCAGAATCTCATTGATCTTTTTATTTATATACAAAAGAGAATTTATGTATATATATTTTTACAGATATATGGATATAGGTATGTACGTAATTTTGTGGCCTATATATGACGAAACTGCTAAGCCGACTTTGTTCAAATTCTTCGTATAATTTCAATAAAACCCGAAGAATGTTCCTACGATCTTTAGACTTTTTTTTAAAAACTTGTCAAATGTAAGAAAAATTAGATTCCCAGAAAAATTATATTTATTGTTAGATTTACTTGAATTTAAATTGAAAATTAAAAGAGAAAATTTTTTTTCTCGAGAAGTTGACCAAGGACCGACTTATTCAAAAAAAGATTGTTTTTTCTACAGGGAAGTGATTTTGAGAACTATCAAGTCCAAAAATCGTTAATCATGGTTTAATATAAAACATAAATATTTAGAGTAAATTAAAATAATCCACATTAGTTTTGCTAATATTCTGATGGTAATCCATAGAGATGGAGGTGAGGGTTGACGAAGTTCACCGGGTCCTCTAGTATTCAATAGTTCTTCGTTTAAAATTTACCCGAAATATTCAGCAAATCATAGATTCCCTAATTTTTCTCATTTTCTTCACAATATTCAACGATTAGGGCGAGCACAGACAAATTCCTACTCGCTTCAATTTTACGGTTTTTAATCGCCCAACCGCAGTTAAGAGGTTCCACAGGTCTTGAAGGCCAAAAAAAAAGGTTGTTTTCCCTAATTTTTTTCAAAAGATACCAAATAAAGTACACAATCTATTTTATTTACATATAAATGTAGATGTGGACAACATTTGATGAAAATTTGAATGAAAATTAGTATTAGTTGAGGCGCTGACAGTGTCGTAGACCGTCCACAAGAAAGTACTTTCACGATAGACATGATAACTTTTTCAGTTTTGAACTGAAAGCAAAAATCAAAAATTTTTCTTCAAGTAGGTGAATTTTCCTTGCCCCCAAATGAAGAAAAATTAAAAACAAAATTAAAAATTTAATCGTTTGTAGTGTTTTTTTTTTACAAAAAACGTCATTTTTTGCATAAAATTAGGCCATATATTGACTTGAAAACAGAGTTGAAATAAATCTTTCATTCAGGGACTACAAAAAGATGCTTAATTTTGATTTCGATAAAGTGGTCTTAAGCTAAACGCGTTCAAAGTTTCGCCATCGGTCAAGCCTTGACAAAGACGGCAGGTTATAAAACTCCCTAATTTTTACAGTTTCATTTCGATCGACTTGAAACTTAAGAAAAATATACTTTTATACAAAAAATGATCAAAAAATGCATTTTTAGAAGTTTCAAGGCCTATTTAACCCCTTAACGCTAAATATACAAATGCAACGTTTAATTGAAAAATTGGTTACATAATTGCCTTACAAGTACGCCTCCCCCTCAATTTGGACCCTACACATACATACAATGCGAATAACGGTGAAAACTAAAATTGGATTCAGCGCGAACAGTCACGTGTGACAATTCACTCAGTTCATTGAAATGCATAAATAATTTGTACGCTTTCGCCTGCCACACCGCCACAGGCAAATGCATGTGCACCAAGTCGTTCAGTAGACTGCATAAATATTGCAAATATTGAAGGAAAAACATTCAATTAAGTGTTATCCATTCATTTTGCCACCACAAGTCACAAGTCAGTTTTGTTCTCAAATCCCAACTACTAACTGGTTGTGTCCGAGGCAGGTCAAGTCAGCTGTTTGATTAGCACTCAGCAGTCAACAGTTGGTAAATTAAGTGTTTCAAGTGTTTTTTTTTTTGTGCCATTTATTTGTTTGTATGTTTGTTTGTATGTTTGCTTAATTGATGTAGATTTCACAAGAAATTGCACTTAACCGTTGCCACTCACCTGCTGTCTTTGCCTCCCCATTTATTTTTAGTGTATATGCGCGTGAGTGTTTGTGCGCTTTACCGTTTTCTTAGTTTTCTCATTTCGTTCGCTTTTCTCATTTAACGCACATATTTTTTATTGTTATTTTGTTATTGCAAATGTTTGAGACAATTTCATTGCTATTACTTCTAAAATAATATACGAAACTTTTCCTTGCGCCATTTCGCATTTGTGTTTTGTAATTACTATTCGCCACCTGTGCAGGGTGTGCTGGGGAAGGATGAGTGTTGGGTTGGCAAGGTTGTTAGCATACTTTGGGGCGCATTAACTGCTCAGCAAAACTGCATTGAAAATAGTTTGAATATCCTCAACTCAAGCGTTTCACTCTCTCCACTCTCTCACTTTACCTTCTCTTGAGCCAGCACTCTTGTCCTTTGCTCGATTTTACCTCGCTCATTTTCCGCAGGTCGCAGGTTTAATTGCTATTGTTGCTTGTCGTTTTAATTTATTTTGCGTTCATACAAAACGAGTATGCTTTTATTATTACTGTTGTTAGTTGGTAAATGTTTCATGTTTCTTCCAATTCACATTCGTTTGTTGCGCTGCTTTCATGCATGTGCGCATATGCACGTTTGAGAGTGAGTAGTAGTTGTTGTTGCAGTCGTTTTGCATGAATTATTGATAAAGTTGTTTTTTTTTTTGTGAAAAATGTTTAAAGTTTTTAATTAAATACAACAATAGCAAAAGTTGCAGTGTTTAGCTAGCGCGACAAATGATAATGAAAAGCAAAAAGTGCAATTAAAATATGGAAAATGAGTACATAATTGGAAATTAATTTAGTTGGGTGCGAAGACTCCCGAAAATTCGGGGTATAATAGGTGAATGAAGAATGTTCCCTAAGAAGAAGAAAATTTTAATGAAGAAAGGGGGTCTTCCTTGCCTGCAACTGCCGTCGTTTATGTTGAATCCTCAAGGATATTCACCGTCTCCATAGAACCGAAGCCTCTGTGGCAAGGCAAGAATGATAAGCTTTTTACAGAGCTTGGTCCGTGTTCCTCTTGAGTGGAATTGTGAGGAATCGAAACCTAGAGCACAGAAGCAATAACAACTGATCCCATCAACAAGTCATATGATCTCATATGAAATTAAAAAGTAACACTTTTACACAGTTAAAAAAAGCAGATCGTAGTATTGTAGATGTCAGGAGATATAAAAACTACTACGTCTCACATACAATGATATGCATATCAGTCATTTAGGTGCGTCGAGAAACTCTTCTCCCTCTGTTGAGGCCCTAGTGACAGGCTCATTTTTGCTTTGACCAACTCACAAGTATCTCCAGATCACGAAAGCACTAGCAAGTACAACTCTCAAAACCTAGAAATATTTAGAGATGGCGCAGAGCTACTTCCTTTCCGGAAATGTTTCTGCGTGAGCTCGTTCGAAGACAAAGAGATGCAGCCAATCAAAATAAACCCCAAAATTGTACACAAGTTCAAAGCGCTTTTATGCTTCATGTAGGCAATCACAATTCGAGCATTAGCATAGGCTGGTTATGGAACGTCCATATCGCAGTCATAGATGTTGTAGGCATCTTCCGCCATCCCTTTGGGTCTTGAAAGTCCCTCTGAAGCGGTGACCTTCTTTATTGAAAACTGCGACGACTTACAGAAGGTTTAGGGGCCACTAACTCAAGCTCTTTACACTGATATATTTCAACGTCTCTCTTTTTCTTTGTAGAAATGCCTTCACTTTGACTTTGTCCCGTACGGTCTCTGGCAACATTTTCTATTTCATTTACGCGCTACAAGTCTCATCGCATCAGGGGTTCTTTTCATCTCTATGAAAACCAAGATGTTCATTGGTGGCTGTCATCTCACAGTTTCCTCATACCGAGTTGCTCAGATAACAGCAGTGCAAATCAAGCTGAAGACCATTAAGCTACACAACGAGCGGACGCTCGTTTTTTGCTACACAAACCCGAGTCGGTGTTGAAGAAGCTGTCTTTAATTCGGATTCTCGTAAAACGTCCGTTGACAGAGTTTTTCTTTGCGACAACGTCAGCTTTAATAAGCCTAGTTGAATGCTCACAAATCGTAACCCTTGAATCACTTTCGTTGGCTGTCGCTATAATCGGAACTTCTTTTCGGAGACTGCTGTGGACCAGTTGTATACATTTCGGGCTCAAAACCCTTACTTCTTTAACAATTGACTTCGTGCATTAATAAATCAGTAACAGAAAATGATGAAAAATATCTTCGACTTAGCTCTAATAAACTCTCTCTCTCTCTCTCTGTGTTTCCTCTTTCTCATCTTCATTCCGCTTGGCCATGGCGTTTCTAATCAAAAACGATTTATTTTCCACACATAAGCCAAATGTAATTTGTATCCTGCTGTCATTGACATATTTCTTGTCATCAAAAAATATTAACTGTTCAATGGCAAACACGAGGCATATATCACATACAATACATATATATTTGTATTTACAAAAATAACACCATCAACATAAACATACACTCAATTACAGCGAGTCAGTTACTAAGCCATTCAAGGCTCAATTTAAGAGCCGACGACGGAAATGCGCAGGACTTCCGGCGACACAGCTATTATGCTGCAGTGGAATGTAAATTTGTTTAGAGAACAAGCAAAAATGTTTATTTGTATTCATATATGGCTTCAAATGTATGTATGTAAGAGGCATTGCGTGCGAGCCATATTTTATACCAAGAAAAATTACATACATATTTTATATTGATTCTAATGAACAGCAGAAAATAGGGAAGAAAAATTTGCTGAGCTTGAGTGGGCGCTTTTTGTGCATTTTCTTTTATTTAAAATAATTAAAGTAAAAATAAAAAAAAATCTCCAAAATGATTATAAAATTCGTAAAATTTTTATTTTCTACGCACTCATACATATACAATACATAAGTATCGGTCGCAGC